GTTTCAATAATGAAGTCAACTGGGCATCTCTTAAAAACTTTCCAATTATAAACTCAAGGGTGTGCGTCCATTGCCAGTTGGCCTTGTGGACACATGTAGCTTTCACCTCGAAATGCTCCTGCAAGCTGCAGGGTTGTCTCACTGATGTATTCAGGGAACCTCCATGGTGCCCCAAATTTCTACCCCTGAAAGTTACTTCTCTCTTCCCCATGTCCCTCTGTTAAGATGGTATTTATCACTTTATCCTCAATAGTAGTATATTAGTGTGAGCTATCTACATTGTAAGACTTCTTACACCTGGGAACAACGTTGATCAATGAGTAACAAAAATAACACTTTGGGGCTGGGCGATGGTGGCACACGCCTTTAATCCCAGCACTCGGGAGGCAGAGCCAGGCGGATCTCTGTGAGTTCGAGGCCAGCCTGGGCTACCAAGTGAGTCCCAGGAAAGGTGCAAAGCTACACAGAGAAAACCTGTCTCGAAAAACCAAAAATAAAATAAAATAAAATAAAATAAAATAAAATAAAATAACACTTCGACTTTAGTGATTTTAGTAGCATTTTTAGGAAAACAATAATTATATCCAAGAAGACATGTTCTAAAAAGAGAAATGAAATAGTCAAATTAAGAACTGGCGGTTTTGCACGTTCAAGTTGGGCCACGGCTCCATTAAGGATGAAGTGGGCTGTGGAATTCATCTGGTAACAAATCTTCACCAGCTAGATTAGCAGGGGTGGGGTGGGGTGTTAAATCAATTAAAGTCTTCTTTCCAGGCGCTTACTTAGTGGCTTCATGTTGCTACTTTTGTTTCGAAAATGGTTAAAACTAAGCCTTCTATTATAGGCTTCATGTGCCATGGCTGCAGAAATCAAAGTGTGTTGACTTTGCCAGGGCGGTGAAAATATACTGGAAGAGGTTGCCCATTCTAATCCTCAGTTTCTACCCCTATGATTGCCAAAGAACTAGGGTTTTAGAGAATTTTTGTTGTTGTTGTTGTCTTTACATACTGGATGTCTACAGTAGCTGAAGGGTCCAAGGGTGCCTGGCAGCATCACAGATCAGCCCGCGCCATCGAAGGCTAAGTGCAAGGCCTCCGGCTCTAGATGCTGACTTCTTGCGTTCAAACGCCTGCCTCTCAGCCTTGGGTAGATTACTCATTTCTGTGCCTCCGTTTCCCCACTTATAATGTGGACTTGGGTGATAGCAGCTATTTTATGCAGTTAGGAAAACAGCATCAGGGCAAGCAGTGGTGGCACACACCTTTAATCCCAGCACTTGGGAGGTAGACTTGAGTTCAAAGTCAGCCTGGTTTACAGAGTGAGTACCAGGATAGCCAGGGCCATACGGAGAAACCCTATCTTGAAAAAAGAAGAAAGGAAGGAAGGAAGGAAGGTGGGAGGGAGAGGGAGAGGGAGAGAGAGAGAGAGAGCGCATCAGTTTGTTTCTGTTTCAAGTACTTCTGGAACATTAGCTACTACTATATGTTAGTTATTAGAATGGCCAAAGAATATCAGTAGTTTCTTCTTATTGGGAAGAGGAATGCGTACACAAAATATTCCCCAGGATTTCCTCATAAAGATAAATTTGGTGGTAACATTTCAGTGGGGCCTGTAAGGTATGGCCATGTCAGTATTAGAGATATGAGGCCCTTGTAGATAAGAGGAAATGGGAATCACTGTAGGTAAGAGGAAGCAGGAAGATACCTGGTTTGTTCCAGGCTCAGAAAGTGACTCATCAAGGTGTCCAGTACTTCCTGGTGAGATGTGGGAGATGGAGTAAGAATGGGGGTTTGGACAGCCTTGGGATGGCAGGGAGTTTGGATGGAACCGGTGGATACTGAGACCATTTGGCATCAAGGTGGAAAGCAAGGTTAGAGAGGGCATAGAATCGAGGCACAGGGAGAGGACGTGGGCAGTAGTGATGCCACTTGAGAATTGAGGAGCAGAGGTCTCAGTCGGGTAATCCACCGATAGAGACAGGAACTCTGGGGAAGGGCGAGTTAGGGGTGGGAGGATCGGCTTCCAGCGTTGTGTCAGTTTGCAGGACAGATAGGAAAACCCAAGAGAACCACCCCCGTCCCAGTTCAGTCAGGCAGACGAGGGTGGTGTGGATGAAATTCGGGAGTCCTTTCCAGATGTGTGGTAGTGTTGATCATGTGGGAATACATGTAGTGCTTTGAGACTTGGACCTCTGGACCCCAAAGAGACTGCATTTCTTGGAAAGTGAGCTCTCGGTGAGTGCCGGGACATGCTGGAGGAGGACTTCATTTTAGCTGTGTCTGAGTCACCAGGTGAGTTCCTCAGCTGGTCATTTAGTCATTCTGATGCTCCGAGTTCTTGAGCTGGGTGAAGAACTTCCTGTTTCCTTTTTACTCATTGAATACTCATGAGCAGTGACTTTTCTTTAACACTGGGAAGACTTTGGGATCAATTATAAAATTTAAAGGTGCATTTAAAATCTTATATATTTTCCCCCAAGACACTCTAAGGACAAAGGACATGGCTTTAAATTTCAAAAATTTCAAGGCCAAAATGTTTCATAACCCTGCATTTGGTGTGTGGTTTTCAATGGGTGTAAAAATACTCGGTGGGTACGTGGGTGGTTTCTCGTGGTTTGGGTAACGGTGAGATGCTGAGCTCTGGGTTCTGGGACCAGAGCTATAATTACTAACCGATGCCTTCCTGGGATTGGCTTACGGGTAGATATTGGGTATCTAGACATCCAGCAAGCCAGAATCCATAGCATGCATCCACCCTGCTTTTCCCTGGAAGTTAAAAGTGTGACTGGCAGTCGAGGGAGCATAGGCCTGGGACTGCCTTGCCTTTTCCTGCTCTGTGACCGCTCACATGTGTGACAGAGCCGAAGTGAAGGCGGCGAGGTGGCTTCTCCAAGCCGAGTGCCCAGCAGCCACCACACAGCTGCTATGGAAACATTGCTAAATATAATCTAGGGCTGACTTCACATGCTCCTCCCCCACAACTCGGCGGATGTGGTAAACACCCTAAAAATACCTATGTTCTGAACTTTTGAGGTATCTGAAAGGAAGGGGCAGGCGCCGTTGGACGGTCCAGCGCTGTTGGACGGTCCGCTCACCCTCCAGGACCGTTGCCCACTGGGCCTGCCTGCGAAGCTGTGTGCTGTGCGTGGCCCATGTTGTCCCACTCAAGGCTAAGAGCTTGCTCTCTAGTCCTGTATTTACTGTTGGCAGGTTTCAAGGAAACTATTCATAGAATGACATCTGTTCTCTGTCCCATTGACTCCAAACCCGCAGCTGCCACCATTACAGGCAAGGGGTTGAGTTTTCGATTTATTTCACAAAATAAGAATTTTAGAGCTGGTGTGTACTCAGTCTAGTGTTCACAGTCTATCAATCCTAGCCTTTATGGAGTCACATTTCTATGCCCGTGGAGTAACCATGGAAATTTGAGAATGGAGCATGCTTTGGTTATTAAGCATTATTATTATTGGTTATTATTATTATCACATTCATAATCCCACAGTATAAAAATAAAGTAAAAAACCATTTAAAATCACTGGCTGATGGTGCCAAGATTTTTATTTTTTACTTAAAAAAAAAAAAAAAAATGAGCCGGGCGTGGTGGCGCACGCCTTTAATCCCAGCACTTGGGAGGCAGAGGCAGGCGGATCTCTGTGAGTTCGAGGCCAGCCTGGGCTACCAAGTGAGCTCCAGGAAAGGCGCAAAGCTACACAGAGAAACCCTGTCTCGAAAAAAAAAAAAAAAAAAAAAAAAAAAAAAAAAAAAAAAATGAACCTGTGAGGCTGGAGGAATAGTTTCCTTGGTAAAGTGTCTGTCAAACATACCTGAGGACCTGGGTTCAGAACCCCAGCACCCACGGAGAAATCCAGGTGTGGTGATGTGTGCTGGGGCTGGAGACAGCTGGGTTCCTGAAGTTCACTGGCCAGACAGCCCTGCCTGTTTGATGAGCTCCAGGTTCAGTGAGAGACCCTGTCTCCAAAACTACTGTGGAGAGTGACGGAGGAAGCCAATCAAGGCAGACCTCAGGCCTGTGTGCATAAGCACGCGCGTGTGTGCATGCACACACACACACACACACACACACACACACACACACACACACGCATGCACGCATGCACGTTGGGGGAGGGGTCATAAATAAGTAAGTCCAACAATGAGCTTTGTTTCTTCACCCAAATTCAGTGGTTTGAACACAGAATCTGTTGGTGACGTGTCTAGAACACCAGCAATCTTGTCTCCCAGAAGGCGTTTCGTGTTCAGCTTCTGGACTTGAAAAGCATAACTAGGATCCTGTAATTGGTTGACCGCCAGCGAGTTCTGTTTCTCAGGAAAGAAAACCTTCACTGTGGGTGTCTAAAGCCCACGAGATGGGCTCAAAGTTGTGGAACTGGTCAGGGGAGTGTCATCCAGGACAGATGAGTCTCCCAACTCCTGTGCCTCCCCCCAGTCTCTACCAGTCCACTCTGAGGAGGTCCAGTGTGTGCAGACCCTGAGTGAAGAAACGCCACTAAGCCTGGACGGTAGATGGAGGAGATGGGACTGCTTTGTGTGTTGAGAAGTTTTAAGTACATTGTACTATGGTGGTTATAGTAACATGCCTTCATTGCAGGCCTCCATATCTTCCGCTGTGAGCATCTCAGAGACCCTTGGTGTGTCTGGAAGAGTGTTCCCATGTGTAGAAAATAAACAGAAAGTTTCCCTTGAATGGTGGAAGCTATTAAAAGGTTTTTTAATATCACCTATCACATATATAAACTAGCCACTTCTACGAGCTCCTGTTCCCTGGGACTGAACACTGAATGCAAGGGACGAAGCCCCTGGGGAGGCAGTCTGCTCTTGGAGGGAGGCTGTAGAAAGGAAGCGGTTGTGGAATTGGTAGTGAGGAAGCCAGGGACGGTGTAGACACCAGGCCATCTCTCTGTGTCACAAGGATCGCGGAAGTAACATCTATCTGGTGATGTCGTTCACGGTTTCTCAAGCATTTCTCCTCTTAAATTCCAGAATGAAGAGCTTCGAAACTTATCGCTTTCTGGCCATGTTGGATTTGACAGTCTCCCTGACCAGCTGGTCAACAAATCCACTTCTCAAGGATTCTGTTTCAACATCCTGTGCGTGGGTAAGTGAAGGTGTCCCCGGGACAGGAGGATGATAGTTTATTCCCTATTTCTTCCAGTTTAGCAGGGTAATAATTGCTCGCCCTGTGTGGCACCATTGTGAAAATTCAGAACTATATTTTGGTAAGTGCTTTGTAGTTTTTTGGTGCTCCTCAAATTGTCTTTTATTTCTGTCGTGTGGTCATGCGACTGGTCAGTCTTATTGTAATGGAAACATTTATTGCAATTTTTCATGGAGAGGAGGCACTGGATCCTAATTAGACTATTGGAAGTTGAAGGAGCTCAGGTATGTACTGGAATAACATCCAAAAGCCAGTGATTCTCAACCTGTGGGTCACGACCCCTTTGAGGAGGTCACATATCAGATTTTTACATTATAGGTCATAACAGTAGCAAAATTACAGTTAATGAAGTAGCAATGAAAATAATGTTATGGCTGGCGGTTCCCACCACGTGAGGAACTGTGTTAAAGGGTGGCAGCATTAGGAAGGTTGAGAGGCACTGGTCTAAGCAGTGTGTTCCTGGGGCCTCCCCTGACTGTTGTGAACAGTAACCTCCCTGGAAGCTTCTAAAGACACACTGAGTCTGGGGAGTTAAAATGGACTGATGTAGGCTTTGCTCTCAGGACAAAAAAAAAAAAATCTAGAATCCTATTTTGTATCTGACCTGCTGTCTTTAAATTGGGATCTAAATTTGACCTTCGTTATATTCCTTGTAGACAAACAGAAAAGTCCAAAGAGATCTGACAGGCACCCCTGTAGCTAGAGTTTTCCTGCCTGGCCCATGGTCAGGACAAATCTCTGTCACCCGCCAGTCCCACAGCTGCTCAGACCCAACCAAGTAAACACAGAGACTTATATTGCTTACAAACTGTATGGCCGTGTCAGGCTTCTTGCTAACTGTTCTTATATCTTAAATTAATCCATTTCTATAAGTCTATACCTTGCCACGTGGCTTGTGGCTTACCGGCGTCTTCACATGCTGCGTGTCATAGCGGTGGCTGGCAGTGACTCCTTCCGCCTTCCTGTTCTCTCGATTCTCCTCTATGTTAGTCCCGCCTATACTTCCTGCCTGGCCACTGGCCAATCAGTGTTTTTTTTATTGACCAATCAGAGCAATTTGACATACAGACCATCCCACATGGCGCCCTCAGCACCTCTACCCCAGGGCTTGGCCATAACCCAGGTCACCTCTGGCCCTGGGGAGATGTTCTTTCTCCCTCTAGCTACATCCATTTTAAACTAAGAAGAGAAAGATAGAAAATCAGAATATAACTCTGTTCTCTTGATTGAAAACTGTTCCTGAAACTCCCTCCCTCGAGAGCAGGGAGCCCGTTTGTGGGTGAAGTTTGGTGGCCACAGTCTCCTTGGCAGATTCTTCGAGACATCATTTTGAGACAGACAGACAGAAGCGTTTCTCTGTGTGGTCAAGTGGACCCCCCTCCCCCCCCCCCCCAACTGACAGAACATGTTAGGTTGATTTCCTGGCTACGTGGGACGCGGTCAGGTCGGAAAGGCTCACCTTCAGTGTGAGAAGCGTGCTGGCTCCCTGGGGGAGGGCGGTTGGAGAGTGAATGCTTTTCTTCTTCGGGAGCCTGCTGCATGGAGCCGGTGTGCAGCGGGTGGGAGAGTCAGTGGTGTAGAATGTGTACTGGCCGGCACTCTGGGCCAGCTTGTTCTCTGGCATTGTATTTTAAACTATGGGTAAGAGAATGGCAGCAAAGACATGGCCAGAGCAGCCAACTCATGGGCCCCCTTTTCTCCCCATGCGGAAGCCTTTCAGTGTTGAATGGGTCCCTCTTGAGCTACAGGTCGGTCTGCAGAGCGGCATAAATGATTTGTTTCTTGGTACATGCCCATTGCGGAGCAGGGCAGTTCTTCATTAGTGTAGCAGTTTGCTGGTTTTGTATTGAAAAGTGTGCTCAATTATAATTCTGAGCCAGTTACTATTCTGACTTCCCTTCCAAGCCTCCCCACATTCCCTTTCCAAAACTGGCTTCACGAATTGGTCTGAGAGTTGCGCTGTGCCTCCCGCACTATCGTGGGGAGCTGTCCTGTGGGATTGGGCTTGCTAGAGGGCAGGATCTAACTGGGGAGGCCGCATGCAGTGGCTTCATGACTGACCCCTCCCTCATGGTAAACAGCACAATTTGATACAGATTGGATTTCCTTATGTTAATCCAATTGTTAGATTAGAAAAAGCCCCTCTCCTGGATAAGTAGTAATACCCTGTTTCTGTACGTGGGCAGTTTGCTTCGGCTTGTAAGTGCAGCTTCTCAAAGTAATTAACATAATATGTGCTTATTATTGAAAAGTTAGAAAACTCCCACCTGAATTTGTGTTCCTACAGATAACCCTGGGATGCTTCTAGGAGTTTCCTGCCTCTTTCTCTAATAAGAAACTAGTCTGGTGGCTTGTAATACACCCGATGTATTATTACACCTTCCCGTTGTGTAGGCAGAGTTCCGCGTTGGTCTGTGGGTGCCATCACTTACAGGAACCCCAGGGAGAACAATTCCCTTGCTTTTTATAATTTCAGAGGATGCCTGCCTCCTTGGCTTTTGGACCCTTTTCCTCGTCTCCAGTGTAAGCAAAGACTTTCTTTGATCATCGTTCTTATAATGGGAAGTTCCTTTTCACAGAGAATTGGAGAAATCTAATTTAAGTGTAGCTATGATTGCCTTCCCCCGTATAGGCTCAGAAAATAACACATTAAAATGATAGAATTAAGAAAAACTAGCTCCGGGGCTGGGCACATGGTTCAGTGAGCAAGCACACTCGCTACACAGGTGTGAGGACCTGAGTTCAAATCCCCAGAACCCCTGCATAAGCTTGGTGCAGAATTCCAGTGTCTCTCTGCGAGACGGAGATGGGGGCAAGGCGCTCATGGGCTAGCTAGTCTGGCATAGACAGTCAGAAAACTACAGATACGCTGTCTCAAACCAAGTGGAAGGCCCAAGGCTTTCACACATAGGTGCTGTCACTGACACACACGGATGTGTGTATACACAGTGCACACGCGCACACACAGAGCACAGTTGCCTCCCGGGATGGAAGGATGTGGTCAGAACACCGCCCGCTTGTGGATGTTGCTTGCTCCTGGTGGCCTGTTCCTGTTTATGCTTTCCCCCCAGCAGTCCGGCTTCCAGCAGTTACCAGCTTGACCACTGTGGGAAGGACCAAACCATTCCCTGACACAGATCACCCACCACCACAGATTATTCTGGGTGCGGGTCACATGCCCAGCCTGGCTGGGAGTGGAGCTCCGTCTGCTCCAGAACCAAGCGGCTCCCTATGAGAAAGAAAGGCTTTATGAGAAGGGAGGTGGGTGGGGGACCCACACTCCGGACAGATGAGGGCCCTCACAGTGCACAGGTGTTTGGGGTTTGGGTTACCCCAAGGATCACTCTGTTTATGTGCTTTAACTTTTTTCACTTCATGATAAATCTGGACATACTTCCAAGACAGCGTATGTAATTCTTCAGACGTTGCAGATTTCCTTTCACTACCATTTGGCTGTGGTTTGAGTCTCTTCCAAGAGTTCCCATGCTGGGGACGCCGCCTTGGTGACAGTACCTTGTGGGACCTTTAAGAATGGGGTGTCTGGGAGAGGCACTTAGGTTTTGCCTTCAGGAGGGAGGAGAGTTCTCCTGGGTCTCCGTGTCTGACCTAGTGAGAGAGTGCAGTGAGAGAGTGCAGTGAGAGGACAGTGAGAGAGTGCAGTGAGAGAGTGCAGTGAGAGAGTGCGGTGAGAGAGTGCGGTGAGAGAGGGCGGTGAGAGAGGGCGGTGAGAGAATGCAGTGAGAGTACAGTGAGGAGAGGGCTTATTCTGGCTGTTCCCCAGCCTCTGGCCTCCCGTCTGGCCATGAGCTTGTCCACCACGCCATCCACCATTGTTAGGTCTCATTAGCACCAACTTGAGGCTGGCACCAGGTCTTCAAATCTCCACAAATGTGAGCTCCACAGACTGCCTCTCCATCAAGCTACCCTGTCTCAGGCAATCGCAATCGTTAGTCACAGAAGTTGACAGTCAGGGCTCTTTGGTTGGGAGCAACATAAACTCTCTGGAAGCTAGGCACGTCAGCAATAAATACCAGCACATCAGAAGTGAGGCTTGTCAAAGCTCTCAACCACAGGTGTCTTATAGCAACAACAAGAGCAAACTCCATTCTCAGTCAATGATTGTTTAAGGTAAAAGCTTAGGAGAAAGAGCTCTAGCCAGTCAAAGTATTTGGAGAACACATGGAGGAGTAGGCGCCATTGACTTGAGCGTCCATGGAATTTCTCCACTACTTTTCATCCTGACCTGTCCGTTACACTTTTTATACAGCAAACCCACCCATTTGTAGCATCATTTTACTTTTTCTTTTATTTTTATTTTGTTTTTGATCTCTAGAGACCGAGTCTCACCATGTGAGACTTGGATGCCCTGGAACTCTCTATGTAGACCAGGCTGGCCACGAACTCAGAGATCTGCTGCCTCCGCCTCCTGAGCGCTGGGATTAAAAGTATGCGCCACCACACCCACCTCGTTTTACTCTCTTGTGAGAAATATAAACAGGAAATGTTATGATTCCATTAAAGAGCCTTTTTTTTTTTTCAATCAAAAGACTATCGAATCACTATTTTGTTTTGTGAGTTGTAAGCAGAGAAGATAAATCAGGGCTGATGAAACTGATCTTGACGTGAACTTAGTCTGGTTTCAGAGCATCTGTGTTGCTGTCCGCCATTAGAATCCACCAATGTCGCATCCTGGGAAGGAGGGCAAGGAAGAGAGAGTCCATTCCACATGCAGGATGGGAGCTGGAGGTATTGGCTCCCTCTCCATCCTGCTTACATTAAGTCACCCCCACCCAAACCACACTTTCAATAAAGCCTTTCGTTTTTATACAGGAGGTATTTTAGCAAACAATCGTCAGTTCTTATTCAGCCTCTTGCCACAGTTTTAGATTTCTATAACTCATTCATTCTCCAGAGGGACACTGATTCTCTTGGAGGCCCCG